CCCCAAAACCCCAAAACCCCAAAACCCCAAAACCCCAAAACCCCAAAACCCCAAATATTAGCCAATAAATTGAATATATTCTGTTCTCCAATTAGATTATTCTATAATACTCAGATGCAATGATTAAGCAAAATACTCTCTGAAGTCATCTATTTCTCTGTGAACAAGTTCTCCCTTTTCAAGGATCAGAACCTTATCAGAATTTAGAATTGTATTCAACCTGTGTGCAATAGTGATCACTGTAGACTCCTTAAACTCTTCGATAATTAGCTTTTGAATAATTTCCTCTGTTTTAATGTCAATATTAGCTGTAGCCTCGTCCATAAGGATTATTTTACTTTTCCTCAGAATTGCTCTGCAGATACATATCAGCTGCTTTTCTCCAGAGCTTAGGTTCTCTCCATTTGAAGCTATTTCTTTTCCTGAATCCCAGAGTTCTTGCAACTTAGCCTTGGATACCAGTCTTAAAATAGTTGCCTGATCTCAATTTTCCTCCGGATCTAGGTTGAATTTCAAACTTCCTTCGAACAAAATAGGATCTTGGGGAATGATTGTAATTTTCTTCCTTAAAGCTGCAAGATCAATGTTCTTTATGTCTACTCCATCAATAAGGATAGACCCAGACTCTCATTCAATGATTCTACAGAGAGCTAGACATACTGTACTCTTCCCAGCTCCTGTTCTTCCAATGACTCCTACTTTCTGTCCAGGTTCGATCTCAAAACTTAAATTTCTAAGCACAAGCTCAGTTTCTGGTCTATATCTTAAGCAGATATTATCAAAGACAATCTTTCCATTTGTTGGCCAACTACTGGGAGGAAGAGGGTGAGTATTGAAGGCTTCCTGAGGGATCTTCAGTATTTGATCACATCTGTCGTAAGAAACCATTGCCCCTTCCATTTCAGATGCGATTCTAAAGAACCAAAGAACATTAGCCTGAAGCATAAGAAGATAAATGAGAAGAGTCCCAACAGTTTCAATATCGCTTGAATATTTAAAGCCTATGCAGAACCCAAGAGAAACTATCATCATTATAGAAGAGATATACTGAAGTCTGATGGAGAACCAAATGTTCAAAGAGTTCACCCAAAAGAATGAGTTCAAATTATCGTCCACTAATTTGTAATTTGTCTTAATGAATTTCTTCTGGTTTTTAAAGCATCTGATGGTAGTTGCCCCAGTAATAGTCTCTCCAAAATTGCTCAGGATTGGACTATTTGTAACAGACTCAATTCTTGTCATCTCTCTGAAGGATCTAATGTAGTATCTTATGAGAAAAGCACCTGAGATCATCACAAAAGGAATTGAGATAAGAGACCATGGTGATATTAAAGCAGTGATAAATATCGTTGCTCCAACCCAAGAAAGGCACTCAATAACAAATGTAACAAGGAAAGGCATATCTGCATCCATTTTATTGATATCTTTGGAGTACCTATTGAGAAGTTTGCCAGTTGGTGTTTTATCAAAGTATAAGTTTATAGGTGCCATTAAAGTTTTCTTTACCATATTTCGATGAAGATTATTGGATGATCTTAAAACACTCAGCATTATTATGACAAATGCTGCAGATATAGATATTCCAAAACCTATAGAATATGCAATAATAGTCCATAAATATTTGCTAAAACTTCCTTCTTCCTCAATATCTCCGATCCATCTACCAATAAATCTATTGGTTTGTATACCACACCAAGCATATACTACAATCAGAAAGGTTCCTGAAAATAAAGCTATCCATGTGCCATTTGATCAAAAGTATTTAAAGTATACATTCCAATCTACACTGACCTTCTCTTCAAACTCGTCAGAGGTAATTTTAGAGGATTTTTCACTAAGATACGAAATCTGTTTATTGTCATCTTGAGATGGCCCATCTAGCTCATTTGAATCAAGCTTATTTTTGTTGGAGTCTGAACCTTCGCTACTAGTTTTCCTTTGGAGCTCAATTTCTTGTATTTCAGCAACTTCTTCCTCTTCTTCTTTTTGAGATACCTTCTTCAGAGTTTCGATGATGTGTTGAATAACTTCATTTCCTTGTAGCTCCTCATATGTTCCAATATACTTGATCTTACAATGATCCATTATGATAATCCTGTCAACCCTATCCAAAAAATCAACTGCATGAGTCACCAGAATTCTAGTTTTTCCTTGAAGATCCTTATCGAAAACTTGATCGAAAATTTTAGCTTTAGTCCCAGCATCTAATGCTGAGATTGGATCATCCATTAAGATTATATCTTTTTGGGCATAGACAGCTCTTGCCAAACTAACTCTTGCTTTTTGTCCTCCGCTCAAGTTGATTCCTTTTTCTCCAATTTCTGTTAAGTCCCCTCCATCAAGTTGTTCGAAATCTTTAGCAAGTTGTCAAGTTTCAACTGTTCTATTATACCTATCCTCATCCATCTCATTTTCAAATAAGATATTATCCCTGATAGTCTTGTTCTGAATCCAAGGGATCTGTTGGACATAACTAAGAGACCCAGATGCTTTTATGATGCCTTCATGCCTAGATCTGTCGAAAATTTCTTCTATTACTTTGTCATCTACTACTTTTTCACTAAGATCTGATACTGTTTCATCAGACACATAGATGAGATCTGACAGAATGGCATTAATTAGAGAGGATTTTCCAGAACCGATTTCTCCAATGATACAAACAAACTCTCCCTTTTTAATATCCAACCCAATATTTTTAAGTGTGATGATATCCTTCACTAGCATATCTTTCTTTTTGCCTGATGAAGAAGTAGAAAGAGTTTCTTCTTCACTTGGAGAACTAGAATCACTTAAATTGTCTTTCGATTCTTCTTCATCATTTATCATATATCTCTTTGGACTATTCTGCTCTAAATCCTCTGATTTCTTTCTCTCATTTTCTCTGATCGCTTTATGGGCTTCCTTTTGAATCTTCTTGAGTTCCTTTTCTTTTTCTTTATCCTTTTCTTCATTATCATCAATTTTCTCTCCTCCCCATGAGAAGTTTGCTCCGCTTATTAAGATTGCTTGATCTGGGGCCATGTTTTTATCATACTCGAGCATTTTGTGATTGATCTCTTCCCCTTGGAGAAAAACTTGGATACGTTTCATTGATACACCAAATTCCATCATTACTCCAATGAAGAAAGGGAGCCATCTTGTTGGATCTCTGAGCAAATTTAGTACTTGCAGAGCAGCAAAAGCAGTTGAAGCTCTAAACCTTATCCCTGACCTAATAGCAACGCTAAATACAGTCAGAATAAGGAAAGAGGGAAGCAGGAAGATGGCCAGCAAGTTTAGAAGAGTAAGCGAGAATCTTAGTTTTAGCATCCAAATTTCTGTATCTCTGAGCTTTTTGATTTGCTTCATGAACCTTTCAATCCATGAGTTGAGTTTAATGATCTTAATGCTGTTTATTGTTTCAGTAATCAATCTCATCCTTGAGTCTTTTGCAGTAAGAACTTTTGCTTGTCTTCTAGCTGTAAAAATAGCCAATACATAATTTACTGCAATTGTTCAAACAATAAAGATTCATCCACTATAGAATGTATAACTAAAGTAAATAAATCACATGATGATGCAATAAATTAGGATAATTGGCAATTTAGAGAGTCCTGGCAACCTCCATGCGAACATAATGATTTTCTTTGCATCAACCTGAATGAAGTTAACTATCTCTCCTTGGGTAAACTTTTTGTTTGTAGAAGAAGAAATTTTAAGTGCCTTATCGTAAATCAATGCAATAAGTCCAGCACTACATTTTGAACCGAGCTGCATCTGGAAAAATGTACCTTGCTCCATTATAACTCTTGAAAGAAAAGATAATGCAACATATAGGAATGCAAACAAGATTCCTATCCACACACCCTCATTAGGGTCATCGATAAAATCTAAGAATCTCTGAATGACAAAGGGAATTGCTATCTCTGGAAGTGAACTAATAAAACTCAACAAAAATGCATAGAAGAACTCTCCTTTGTAAGCCATAAAGATAGCTTTAATCAATGGATACCCAGTCTTATTATGCTTATATTTATCCCAATATACTGCTAATTTGTTCTCTTGATAAGCAGTATCGTATTTATCTGGTAGAGCACTTAAATGCTCAAGTTTAATTTGCTCTTTGTACCCAAATCGTACAAGTGGTGTGACCCAGTTGAAGAGCCATCTTGAGAATATTCCTGCTTTCTGATACGGATTCTCATCTCCAAATATACTTCCTTGTTTATCTAGGTCAGCATACCCATCTGCTTTTGTATACAATAGCGGATCTGACCTTCCAGTTCCGGTTGTGAAATTCAACTCATCGTCAGAACTGTCTGAAAGTTTGCGTCTCATATTTAATATTATTTAATAATTAAATAAATTTTTGCTTATTTATACTGTTTAGTGGCAAATGTTATCCAATAAGATTCCTTAATTCTGAATCATGATCCAACCAATTTGATAAATTCAGAGTTGAAAAGGAGCTGCAATTGTTCGATTTTGAATACAAAGACTAATTTTAATGGATGAAATTCAGAAAATTTGAAAATTCTTGCAAAGTTGCTAACACTTTTTCAAATCTTAAAACTATAAAGCAAATCTGATTACTTTCTAGATTCACCAATGTCTTTTAAGGACAATATAAATATATAAAACCCTATCTGATCCAAAAGGAAAATAGATCGGTTCTAAATAATGAGTCGAATTGATATCAGGATAGATCCATTAAAACCCACAATTCAACCAAATTAATTTAGTTAGGGGTTTTGGGGTTTTGGGGTTTTGGGGTTTTGGGG